CCATTCGCCGCCCAGGCGGGCGGGTCCTCGAGCTGTCCGGCGTGCCCAAGACTCGGCGCGGCGAAGGTGTTGTACACGCTGGCGCCCCACTGCAGGCCCAGAGGCTGGCCCCTCCAAAGCCCAACGCGTCCGAGGTATTTCTGCAACGGTTTCCTCCATGACGTCTCCTCCATGCCGGAAAACCGAAGTACTTACAAGAAGTGCAAACTGGCATCGCCCCCCAGGAAGGCAACTCTCTAATCTTCCGTTGCTCGAAATCGTTGAAGGAGGCGGCGTTGAGCGGAATGATGAACGACTTCGCTGCGTTCAAACGCAAACCAGAAAACTTCTCGAAGGCTTCGAAGACGACCGTCAGCGGTGGCGCAAATCGCCAGAAATCCCTCAATACCAGCGCAGTGTCGTCAGCATAAGCCCGGACGAATTCGTCGGGGCAGCGCGTCTCGATGGTGTCCAGAAGGCTCTCCGCCACGACCGCGTAGATCAGCGGCGACAAAAGACATCCCTGGCGAACCCCAGGCGACATCCGGAACCCCTCGAAACGACGACCTTTGACAGAGATGTCTCACTTGCATTCGTCATACAAGCTCAGGAAGGCTCTGACTGCCGAGTTCGGGACGCCGATATGTTTCAAGCACTCTGTCATGTACTCCTGGGAGATGGAGGGAAAAGGCGGCCGTAAAGTCGAGGAAGACAGCGGCCGCTCGGTCTTCACGCAGGGAAGGTCCCAGTTGCCGATCACGGACGTACCCGTCGAAGTGCTCTTCCCAGCGAAACCGCATGGCGTTCGCCACGAGTCTGTTGTCGCAGCTCACGAGTGACAGCGGACGCGTGTCGGCTGCTTTGAAGTAGGCGCCAAGGTCCGGATCATCGCCAGTTGGCGCCTTCGGCGGGCACACCAAGGTACCCAAGTTTTACTGGTGGGTGTCGTCACACCCCTCGTCCTGGTAAGCCTGTCGCATCATGTCGCCAGCGTCCTCCCGCTCGATCGCCACCGCGACGTCGTACAGGATGTCAGACCCCAGGCTGCCAAGCGCCCTCCAGGCTGAGAAGGGGGACGCCGTCGGGGCCCGGCGCGCTGTTCCCAGCGGTGCTCAAGGCTTTCTTCATGTCGCAGCGGCGCACCCGCCATTTCCAAGCCTCCTGGGGTACTGCGCGCCGCGGCGGCCGCCTGCGGCCCGGGGGTCGCCAGGGTGGATGTCCAGTTCCACTCCACGGGCCGTCTCCTGGAGGGAGCCCAGCCACTGCTGCATGCAGTCGAAGTCGACTGGCGGTGCTCGAACGACTCTTTCCCAGTGGGTCTTCAATGCGACGGCCATCTCGCCAGCTGTGCCTGTCACCCGCCCGCCCTCGCATTGCATGGCTGCAGCGGAATTCGTACAACCTGGCAGCAACCGCTTGAGGTTTGCCAGAATTTTGGATTTGGCTTGCGTCTGGAAGGCGGCCGTGTCCTCGGCGCGGTCGCGCTGGAGCTGCTCAATATCCTCTGTCAATGCCTTGCGCGCCAATTGCACCGCCAGCTGCTTGAGTTGCCAGAAGCCGGCACTCGTCCAAACCTCAGGGTTTTCTGGGTTAACGTACTCTGAGATTTTGGGGAAAGCCCGGGCGCAGCGTCGCATTCGAGAGACATCGACGCGTTCTGCCGCTCTGACAAAGCTAACTAAGAACCCATCCCAATTCGTCATCGGTGCTTTCTGCCCGGGTTTCCGCGTCCTCCCGCCGCATGCCGTTCGCCACCGTGCGCATGGCACGCTTGACCAGGATAAGCCGTCTCACCGGCGAGGGGCGAACAGTGTCCTCGGCCAACAGGCTGTGAAACTCGATCACCACTCTCCTGCAGAAGTCGGGGTGGGCCACGACCCTCGCAGGAATGATCTGGCTTCCCCGCTGGTCCGCCGTAGTCGAAGACCGTCCGAATGCAACCGCCCTGTGGGCCGAGAGGTGGGTGGCCGGGAGGGCTTAGCACATGTAGCAGCGGTCCAACTGGTCGGCGAACGAATTGTTGGCATAGTCTCGGTCAAAGCGAGATTTGGCCACTCCGCTTTCGTGGGTGAAGACCGGCTGGTACAGCTCGTGGCATCCGAATGGCGTGGATGGAAGAGTCTCGAAAGCTCGGGCGTCTCTGGCGTCAGAGTCTCCAGACCTAGATCCATCCGACTTCGACCAGCGGTTCCGACGGTCCTCTACGGAATTGATATCCCCGAACATCACAGTCAAAACCTGCTCCCGAGGAGCCACGTGCTGGGAGATCGAAGTCATTGTAGCGCGCCGAGCTGCGCAAATGGCCGGGTCGGAGCCCGAAGCAAGGTACACCACAATGATATGCAAAGCGCCTGACGGCCCCCGTAGGGATAGCTTGGCAGCCCGTCCGGCCTCCAAGGGCACCCAATCCGCCGGCATCACGGGGCTGAACTTCGTCAGGAAGCTGTCATTCACGAAAAGCCCCACCCCGGCCTGCGAGCGCGTGCCGTGAGACCAGAAAGGGCAACAGCCTGTAGGGGGGCGAGCGCCAAGCTCCGTGCCATCTGTACCATGCGACTCCGAAATCCCCATGAAGTCAACAGCATTGTTGAAGATGCTCTGGGCGCACGTTTGCTAGTCGTCTGGGAGTTCCAGCACACTTCAGCATAATCCCCAAAGTATGGCCCAAGCATGGGAGGTAGGTCGCGGCGTGCGGATGCATTGGGCGCCTGTTCTGGTGCTGGTTCTGCTGGCTCCCGCTGAGCTGGGCGCACAGCGGCTGCCTCTGCCGACGGTGCTGCACAATCCTGTCGTGCTGGACTCTGGAGCTGCTTGGAGTGTTGCTGCTGCTGCTGCTGCTGCTGCTGCTGCTGATGGTGCTGCTGCGTTCCCATGCGCTGGACTCTGAGGTGCCGCTAGACGTGCCAGTACTGCAGGTGCCGATGGTACTGCTGCCTCCCGTCGTGCGGGAGCCTGAGGTGCCGCTCGATGTGATGATGCTGCTGGTGATGCTGCTGAGACCCGTTCTGCTGGACTCTGCGGGGCCGCGGGACATACTGATGCTGCTGCCGATGGTGTTGCTAAGTCCCATCGTTGGCCTTGAGGTGTTGCTGGATGGGCTGGTGGTGCTGCTGCTGTTGCTGCTGCTGCCGCTGGTGCCGGTATCGCTGGCTCCCGTGCTGGAGACTGAGTTGTCGCTAGATGTGCTGGTGCAGCCGCCGTCGATGGTGCTGAGAGGTCCCACCGTGCTGGATTCTGTGCAGCTGCTAGATGTGTTGATGCTGCTGCCGACGGGACGTCTGGGTCCCATCGTGAACTCTGCGGTGCTGCTGGATATGCTGCTGCTGCGGCTGATGCTGGCTCACGTCACTCAGGAAACAGAAGGTGTGCTGGGTGTGCCGTCGCTGCTGCCGACGGGATGTCTGGGTCCCGTCGTGCTGGCCTCTGTGTGGCTGCTAGCTGGGCTCGCCCTGATGTCGATGGTAGTGCTGGTTCCCGTCGTGCTGGAGACTGGGGTGCGGCTGGTTGCTCTGAAGCTGCAGCTGGTGGACCTGCTGTGGACAGTACTGCTTACCCCCACTGTGTTGGAAGCCGCGGGGTTCCTGGATGCGCTGGACCTGCTACCGATGGTGCCGCTGGATCCTGACTTGCTGGACGCTGCAATGCTGCTGGAAGTGATGATGCTGCTGCCGACTGTACGGTTGGCTCCCGTCGTGCTGGAAACTGCTGTGCTGCAGGGTGCACCGGTGCCGTTGCACGCGGAGGTTCTGCCAAGCCGTCTGGAGCGCCCGGCTGACGTGGAGCCGCGGACGCAAAGTTGTGGGGGCGAGGGGCAGAAGAAGTGGGCACCGATGGGGGGTTCGTGTCGATCGTCGGCCTGGGGAGGGGTAGTGGAAGGGCGTCGCGTGCCGAAGCACGCGGAGCGGTACGAGTCGGCCGTCGTGACGAGGACGAGGGTGGAGGCCTCGAAGACAGTGCAGCTGCCGAAGGTGATGTCGAACTCGGCGGTAGTAGTTCTGGATGCCGGTGGTGGTGCTGGAACTGAGATGCAGGCCTTCCTGCTGAGAGCTGCGTCGGTGCTGGGTGCGCTGGCGTCGAAGACGCCGCCGAGGCCCGTCGTGTCGGAACGTGCGGTGCTGCGGGATGCGTTAGTGATGTTGCCAGCGCGTCTATCGGTTCCCGACGTGCTGGGCCGTGTTGGGCTGACTGGTTCGCTGGGCCTGGTGCTGGTGGCGCGGCCAGTCTCCGACGTTTCAGGCATGATGGTGCTCTGGGGTGGGCTGGGTCGCCTGCATGCCGTCCCGTTGGACACTCATGAGTCGGAATCTGTGGAGATGCCTACTGCGCTGATGCTGCCTCTGGTGGTCTTGCTCGTTCCGCTGATGCTGTGCGCTGCGGGTCTGCTGGATGTGCTGCTGGCACGTCCAATGGTGCTGTGAGTTCCCGTCGAGCAAGCCACTGCGGTGCGTCTGGATGTGGTGGCAATGCTAGCCGGGGAACTGTCACGTCCTGACGCGAGGGGAGCTGCGCTGGTGTTGGATGCGCTGGTGCTGCTGCCCGCGATGCTTCGAGCGCGCGTCCTGCTGGATGAGGTGCTGCCCGATGCGTTGGCGTTGCTGCCAGCGGAAACACTAGATCCTCTAGTGACAGGGCGTATGGTGATGTGGAATGCGTGGGGGCCGTCGCCAGCGCTGCCAGGTCCCATCTTGCTGGGATCTGCGGGGCTGCTCAATGCGGCGGCGCTGCTGTCGGTGGTATGGTAGACGGTACTGTAGCGGAGCGGGTCTCCCGCGAGTGGCCAGCCTGGCCATGAGCATGCCGATCACGTCCCAGTCCTGCTGCGCCACAAGGAGTGTCGATATCAGCATGTCCTGCAGGACGTGGCTGTCGGGAGCGTCTGGTGGAGCGTGCGGAAGTGGAGGTGCAACGAGGGGTCACGGAGCATGGTGCTGCTTCGAATTCTTCGCAGCGCCCAGCGCTGCGAATATAAATTAGGAGGACGTGGCCGCCCTGCGACGGCGGCCTGGGATTACCTTCGGGGCCTAGTCAACACCCGCCTCGCGGACGCTGCCTCCCGCCCGTGTCCAGGTCCAAGTGCTGCGAGCGCACCTCGACGGAAGCGTCGTGCCCGTTGACGGCCAGGCGCATTCCATGGATAGCCTCATGGAGCTTTCTGACTTCGGCTTCGGCGGCGAGCTGGATCACGATCTTCCCCATCCACCCGCCCTCTGCATCGCGGATTGGGCACAACTCGTGCATCCCGAGGACAGAGTCGTCGTCAGCACGCCGTAATGTGGGTAGCCCCTGTTGCGCAGTGGCCCGACTCAGAGCTGCCGGAAGCCAGTCCTCCGGAGGGCCAGTCGTACCTAGTGGAATGTGGACCGTTGCCTGCAACGACACTGGCTTCGCTGGGTTCCCTGGGGCAGCTGCATGGCCACCGCGTGCCCTGGCTGCGTTGAGCTGCGAGGCCGTCGCTGTGACCTGCGCGTATGTCTCTGGGCCGTCCCGTGACTGTCGGTTTCGGATGCGCTCGCCGGTGTGCACGTCGGGTCGCTCCGCCAAGTCTCTGTCAGGTGGTGGCCCCACACGGCGCTATCGGCCCGCGTGGAAATCAGGAGCAACTTCGCCGACAACACCAACGCGTCCTTGTAGAGCTCCTGGTAGTGGAGGGCAGCCTTCGGGGACGTAGCATCCAGAAGCATCGCCGCGGGGTCCCAGACGAGCTCGCACCACCCGACCACTGGGGAGAAGGGTTGCAGCTGCGTCGTAACCTAATGGTGGATGGATTCTAGTCTAGTTCCAAGCGCTGGATGCCGACACGGTTGATGTGAATCTGAAGCTGCGAGCGCGGGTTCCCCTTCGAGGATCCCGGACTGGGGATCGGGTGGTCGACCGAAGCCAAATTCGCGCAAAAATGTGGAATACCTTCCAACGGTGGTCCCTTGGGACGTCGATCTACAGTGTCACCTGCGACTGGTGCTCATAGGAAGCCGGACGCCACTGTTCCAGCAGAAGCTGCGCCGGAGCAGCTGGAGACCCTAAAATAATGATAGCGATGTGCCGCTGCTGGTGCACTGGGGCTGTTCTGCTGGTAATGACCATCGACACGGGTGGCGTGAGGTATCGAATCTCCTTGACCACATCTCGCCATTTGGGATGCAGCAATGGGCGGTCCCACAAGTCGTCGACCTGGCTGGCGGTCTGGCAGCCCGGCAGGATCCTGAGAGAAAGCTGCTCGAGTGACTGCCTTCCGCCTGTCGTGCTGCGCCACGCGAGTGCCACCTTCTGCACTTGGCCAAGGTTGCTCGGGGCCCATGTCACCAAGTGCGAGGACGACAGCTGCCTGAAGAGCTGTTCGATGGCGTCCTGAGCTCCGCACAGCTGCGCCTGCAAATGTCGTGTGTCGGAGACTGTCGCAGCGCAGGGGAACTGCGCGAGGTCGGTGCGGAGGATGTTGCTCATGTGGAGCGCCAGCACCGCAGTAGAATGGGCTGCGTCCAAAGTGTCGTGCAAGTATCGTGTGAAATCCACGTCGACCTCCCCACAGGCGTCCAAGGACTTGGGCTCGCCCTTGATTGCTCGCCGAGCCGCCAAGGCGTCAGGCAGGTCCAACGCACACGACGCAGCAGCCTCCTGGAGTCTCCGTCGCCACCCGTCTATCTGATCCTGCGCCTCCCTGTCGAGGCACTTCGCGGTGCCGACGGACAGGAGCTCGATGCCCAACGTGACCCTGTCCTCGAGCGATTTCCGCGTCGGCGCGGGACTTCCACACGAGCCAGCCCGAGGCGCTCGTATGCATCGTGTGCATCAGGGTCGAAAGCGACACTATACAGGAGCGCGCGTAGCGGCGCTGCAGTTGTGGCCTGGAGCAGCGCATCAAAAGACGGAGGGGTGAAGTCGAGACCTCGAGCCCGGCGTACCGCGAGAACGTCGAATGAGGCGAGCGCTGCATCCTCGATGAGCTTGACGTAAGTCTCCCGCAGTTGAGCGTCGGGATCGAAGTCGAACGTCCTCTGCACCTGTGTCTGCCGAGGTGGTAACTGAGGTGCCACTGGCGGAGGGGCCTGGGCGTTTGGTGTCAAATGTGCCGCCTCCAGGTCCTGCGTCAGGTCGGTGTCACCGCCTTCCATGCCCATATCGTCCTCCTGCGGCGGCTCAGAGCTGTCCACGCCCTCAAGTCTCAGCGCTGGCTGCACGATTGGAGATCCTGTTCCCGGTGGCGTCGCCAGTCCTGAAGTCATCCAGTCGGTGCTGTTGCCCCTGGGCGCGGGGAGGCCAGGCGGCAGGGGCGCCGCCGCCATCGCCAAGGCGTGTTGGCTGCTCGTCTGAAATGAATCGGCGTCCTGCCGGGCTGGGGGAGCACCCGCCGGAGGCTGGACAGGTTGCCCGCAGCCGCGGCAGCGATCGCCCGCAGCCTCCGCAGGCACATGGGCGCCGAACAAGTGGCAGGCGGCTTGCTGACAGGATGCAGTCGGCCCCGAAACCCCTGTGAGCAGGGAGGCTGGTCCGCCTCCCCGGAGGCGGAGCACCAAGTGTAGAGCAGCATTCCTCTGGATATTGTAGTCCGTGAGCGTGCGAGTGCCGTCCAGTTGCTTATTGGTATAGAGAAGCCGCTGCTGGCTAGGAGGGATCCTCTGAGAGTTTTGGATGTGCATCTTCACGGTATGGATCGAGTGGCCGGCCTCCACGTTGAGCATAATTGTTCTCCCCACAATTGTCTTCACAAAAATTGGTATGACCCCATGGCGTGGTGTGCTCGTCGTGCTGGTGTGGCGGGACGTCATCGTGTTGGATGTGGCGTAGCCCCAGCGCTGGTTTGTGTAGCGCCGATGGCCGTCAGCATGTAGCTGTTGTATACCGTCACAATGCCCGCCGTACTGGGAGGCAATACCGCTTGGAATCGGAATCCACGTGGCTGGTGTCACGGTCTCCGCCGGGGCGGGCGTCACATGCTCTGCGGTGTCGAGGGTACTGGCTCTGGTGCCGGCGTCGGCGATGCTGGCGTGGCAGCCGTGGCGGGGCTGTAGGTTAAGAGTTGAGCGCTGTTGAGATGCAGAGGAATGCACGGCATTGACGGTACTCACCAGAGACGGTGCCGCGGGCGCCTGGGCCTGCATGGCGGCCAGATTACCGTTGGTAGTGATGCTGGTGATGCTGGTGCCGATGATTCCGTGGGCGCTGGGGTTGGAGCAGCTGGCGTCAGCGGTGCTGGACTTGAGAGTGTCAGAGTAGGCGTAGAGGCTGGTGGAGTCGGTGCCAGACCTGGTGCCGGCGTCGGAGATGCCGTCGATGCTGCCGGTATAGGTGCTGGAGTCGTTTCCACCGTCGATGTGGCTGGTGACGGTGCTGGAGTCGGTGACGGGGTCGATGCTGCCGACGTCGGTGCTAGAGTCGATGCCAGCGTCGCTACTGGCGTTGGTGCCAGCGCCGATGCTGCTCGCATCACGGCCGGAGTTGGCGCTGGCGGCTATGATGCTGGCGTCGGCGCTGGAGTCGATGCTGGCGGCGGAGTCGGAGTCGATGCCAGCGGCGTCGATGCCAGAATGGGTGCGGGCGTCGGGGCAGCTGGCGTCGGTGCCGGCGTTGGTGCTGGCGTCGGCGCCAGCGTCGATGCTACTGTCCACAGTGCTGGAGTCGGTGCCGGCGTCGATGCCAGCGTCGATGCTGCTGGCGTCGGTGCAGGGGTAGAGGCAGCTGGCGTCGGTGCTGGTGTGAGTGCTGGCGTCGAAGCTACTGGCGATGCTGGAGTCGGTACTGGCGTTGACGCTGGCGTTGATGCTGCCGGCAACGAATCTGATCGGTGCGATCCTCAAAGCGATGATCTTGCCAGTCGCTGTTATGACGAAGATCTGCCTGTCCAGCGTCATGGACTCCGCGTCCGTCTTCCCAGAGTCCGTGTCCAGCATCAACCAGGAGTCCACGTTGGGCGCCATGGATATTCCCCTGGACTGGGTGCATCCTGCAGGCAGTCGAGCCTCCCTGCTGGAGTGGCGTGGAAACTGGGCGGATGCGAAAGTATTCCTGGGGGGGCCAGGGACGAGTGAGAGAACCTTGAGGTGCCGTAGGGGGGGGACATTGGGGGATGGAGGCCTTTTAGCAGTCCCAGCGGCCACCCCCGCTCACGTCGGATTCCTGGCGCCATTGGGCCCTGGATGAGGACCCCATTCAGCGCCCTGTCCATGCTGGCGTCGTCCGCGAGTATGCCCTCGCCCTCGGTTTGCCACCGCCAGACATTGGAGATCGGCGTCGGAGGCAGCAACTGCAGCTCCGCGGCGCTCATGATGCAGACTTCGGTGTCAAAATCGCTCGTGCCGTCTTATGTGCAGGCGTCTTTGCCGACGTCGACGGTGCTGGCGCTGGTGCTGGAGTCGATGTTGGCGTCGGTGCAAACGTCAATACTGCTGGTGTCGGAGCTGGAAGCGGAGCTGGAGTCGGGGCCGGCGTCGATGCTGTTCGCGGCGGTGCCGGTATCGGTTACATCACCAGTGCCGCCGCCTACGCTACTAGGGACGGTGCTGGAGTTGAAGCTGACGTCGATGCTGCTGGCGTCGGTGCTGACGACTGCGTCCTCCAACTTCTCTCCGGCGTCATGGCGGACAGTGGTCCCAGGCTGGTCGTCGGAGTCCAGGTGGTTGTAGTCCACCGACGGGTCGCTGATGTCCAGGTGGTTCATAAGCTGCCGCTGGTCGAAGATGTCCTGGCGGTCGTGGATCTCCAGCATGTCCCCGATGTCCAGGTGGACTCTGAACCTCAGCTGGTCGGTGAGCCCGTAGATATAAGCGTCATGGCCGTAGAACTGCTGGTCCGAGCTGTCCAGGTCGAGGCGCAAGATGGCGCGTGGCAGGGCGCCGTCCCCGCAGTTGTGCATCGCGTCCAGCTCCAGCACAGACCTATATGCCTGGGTAAGTCCTGCAGGCTCCCAAACTGGGCGGCTCGAGAAAGGGCGGGGCGGTGATGGAGGGCCAAGGGTGGGCCAAGGGTGATGGGGTTGCGGCGGGGGGAGGTGAACGGAGAAGGGGGGCACCCCATCGGCCCCAGCGGCACTCCCCGCCGCTGGTTCCGCGCACCCCTGGTGACTCTGGCCCTCTCCCGCCGGCCCCAGGACTAGGAAATCGTGCCTCGTCCATTTCAGAACCCTGTTCATGGAGTAGCTGTCCGCCAGCCGCGCGGCGCCGCTGCCGCTCCCCTCCTGCTCGAGGTCTTGCCGCCGTACTGCGGAGGCGGCCAGGCCGGGCGGCCTTCCCCGCCCCGAGCGGCGACGCCTTGAGCCAGCGCGGGCCCCAAACAGTAAGCTCTTGCACTGTGGAGGCGAACTGCATGCGGAGTGCAACTACCTGGTGCTAACCATGTTTTGTAGGCTATGAATGTGAGCTATGTCGTGTGAGCTATGATGTGGCATGGTGTAAGCTGTGCTGCTTGTGCAAGCTGTGCGGTGTGACTTATGCAGTGTGAACATGTGATGTAAGCTATGCGGTGTAAGCTATGCGGTGTGAGCTCGCGCCAGCGCGGCGATACCTCGGCCGACCCACACAGGGCCCGGGCCGCCCAGGAGCGCCCACGAGTCGGCACGGGCGCCAATGAGGAGAATCCTCGGCGGACCCGTCCAATTAGCTAGAAACCGAAGTGAGAGCCCCACCAGTGCAAGCACTGTTTTTGGATTGTGTCCAAAACATCACACGCAGGCATATACACACCGAAAAACCAAACGAGACGAATTCTGGCATCCATGCGTACTCTTGCATGAACAAGTCAGCAAGAAAACCAGCTCTGAGCGCGGGGGCTCGCTCATCATCGGGCATGCGTCCCGCGCCTAATATCTGGTGTCCTGCGTTCCAGCTAGCCGGCCTCGCCGAGGCGCTACCGCGTTGAGCTACGGGACCGACGGGCGATGCTCAGTCGATGATTTCGATGTCGCCGTTGTCTTGGACTCCGACATCCAAAGCATGCGCGTCGGGAGGACGAGGACGATGGCCAGGATGAGGACAAGGAAGGGGGCAGGATGCAGCAAGGCGAGGGAGAAAAGACCCCCACGTCCTCCTCGTCCTCCTCGCTCCTCCTCCTCATCATCATCCTCCCGCTCCGATACCTCCACGAAAACCCCAACGACCCCGACCCACCCGAAGACCACAGAAACTCTGGGACAAAAACCTCAGCCCCCCCTCCTCACAAAACCTCCGAGCACCTGCAGGAACTGCCTCCTACAGCATACTGCCCCCCCGGACGAAGACGGCGCCAGGGACGAGAACGAGGACGACTAACGAGGCCGTAGAAATTCGACGACGACGACGACCACGGCCACAACGACGACGACGACGACGACGACGACGACGACGACGACGACGACGACGACGGCGACGGCGACGACGACGACGACGACGACGACGACGACGACGACGACGACGACGACGACGACGACGACGACGACGGCGGCGGCGGCGGCGGCGGCAGCGGAGGCGGCAGCGGAGCCGACGCTCATTTCTGCGCCACTTCCCGGCCACCCGATGACCGCACGATGGCCGCCCGATGGCCGCCAGATGCCCGCCCGTGGGGGAGCACAAATGCTTCGATACCGCATCTCCTCGAGCGCGCTCTGGTCAGGAGCTCGAAGCGAATCCAGCCGTGGCGGCAGGGAAAATGACAAATGGCAAATGGCAAGTGGCAAATCCAGCCCTGGCGGCATATCTTTTCCTCTCATGACACATGGCCGCCAGAGGGCCTCCCGCTGGCCGCTCGCTGGCCGTCGAAGCGCGGTCATGGGCCGCGGGGGCCAAGGCGCTATGCGGTCCTCCGCGAGGCGCCGGAGCACCGCCCGGCGCGCGGAGCGGCGCAGCCAGAACGCCTCGGGCCGCGATTTTTCTTCTCTCAAGCATCCGAAGCTTCTCAAACATCCAACCCACGACAGAAAGCACCGCAAATCATGGTCAAACAAGTGGCACGCGTGCCCTGGCTCTTGCACATTTGAGGAGAGAAAGAGGAGGAGGGGCATGTAGGGGGGATCGAGGACAGGGAGGGACGGGCAGGGGGTGGGCAGGGCGCCCTGTGCCGAGCCAGTGTGTGTCTGGGGGCGAGGGGGGCTGGGGCCAGGGCCAAGGGACGCCAGAGCCAAGGGGGGAGGCTTGGCCCAGGGCCAGGGCAGGAGGACTGGGGCTCGGACCAGGAGCCAGAGGTTCGGGTTGGGACGAGGAGGCCATGGGAATGGGGGGCAGGGGGACGACGACGAGGATGGGGGACCAGAGCCAGGGGGACGACGACGAACCACGAAAATAAAGAGTTCCGAGCTCTAGAAAACAACTGTGCAAGAGAATAAAGGGTCCTCCAGGGCGAGGGGGACTGGGGCCAGGGCCGTGGGGGGGAGGCAGGGTCCAGTGCCAGGGCCAGCAGGGCGAGGGGGGCTGGGGCCAGGACCAGGTGAGGAGGCTGGGTCCAGGGCCAGGACCGGACCCGAACGAAATAAAGGGTCCAGGGCGAGGGGGACTGGGGCCAGGGCCGGGGCCAGGGGAGGAGGCAGGGTCCAGGGCCAGGACCAGAGGGACGACGACGAACGAAAATAAAGGGTCCAGGGCGAGGGGGCTGGGGCCAGGGCCGGGGGGGGGGAGGCAAGGTCCAGGGCCAGGGCCAGCGGGCCGAGGGGGGCTGGGGCCAGGACCAGGGGGGGAGGTGGGGCCCAGGGCTTGGACCGGACCAGGGACGACGACGAGCGAAAACAAGTGGCACGCGTGCCCTGGCTCCTGCACATTTGAGGGGACAACGAGGGGGGAGGGGGGGCGAGAGTGCCAGGGGATGGGGGGCCAGAGCCAGGGGGACGGAACCACGAAAATAAAGGGTCCGGGGCGAGGAGGGCTGGGGCCAAGGCCAGGGTCTGGGCGAGTGGGGGTCCAGGGACAGGGCAGGGGGACTGACGCTCGGACCAGGGGCCAGAGGTTCGGGTTCGAACCATGCAAATACACGCTCCGAGGCGCGGAGGGCTGGGGCGAAGGCCAGGGTCGGGGCGAGTGGGGCCAAGGCCAGGAAACAAGCTGAGTTCAGCCAGGGCCGGAGGGCTGTGGCTCGGACCCGAGGCCAAGAAGAAGAAGAAGAAGAAGAAACAAGAAGTCATACACCCGGAGGTGCGTAGGACACAACTGCGGAAACATGTGGAAAACTATCATCAGCATTATACAGATCATGCTGCACTACATCTGTAAGTCTGCCGTGCGCACGAAATGCCTCCAAGAGGCCTCATTCGTCAGAAGTGGGATTACATTAGCCAAGCCGTTTGCTGCCACACTGGCCATGCGCGGCACCTGGGTTGTCCATTCTGCACGCGGTCTGCCTACTTTCCTCACGTACCTCTCAGAAGCTGGCCGGAAGGACTTCGGGCAGAACGCGACTTCTCTCAGCAGGCTCCCTTCCTGTGCCCGGCTGTGGGGAGGGGCGAAGGGGGGCGGGCCACAGCCAGGTGGACGGGGGCGAGGGGAAGCGGGCCACAGCCAGGGGGACGACGATCAACCACGAACCACGAAAATAAAAAGGCCCGGGCGAAGGGGGGTTGCTGGGGCCAGGGGGCGCCGGAGCCAAAGAGGGAGGCTGGGCTCAGGGCCAGGACAGGAGGACGGGGGCGAGGGGGCCAGGGGAAGCAGGCCAGAGCCAGGGGGGACGAAGACGAACCACGAAAATAAAGGGTCCGGGGCGAGGGGTCCAGGTGAAGCAGGCCAGAGCCAGGGGGAGAACGACGAACCACGAAAATAAACGGTCTGGGGCGAGGGGGGGCGCCAGAGCCAAGGAGGGAGGCTGCGTTCAGGGCCAAGGCAGGAGGACTGGGGCGAGGGGGCCAGGGGAAGGAGGCCAGAACCAGGGGGACGACTTGTGTGTCTACGGGCCCAGAGAGCCCTCGTTTCCTTGAAATCACCCAAATAGATCTTAATTATGTAGAAATTACGTTTCGTCTGAATATGTAAAATATGTTTTGAATAGTTTTTAATCACGCTAACCTTCGCATTGCGAAACGAAGAGTGCTTTTAAAATAGCTACGCGTTAGGAGCGCCAGTACTCCGCGGTGCGGGCGCTGCTTTCAGGGTGGCCCAGAGAGCGGTTGTTTCCAAGTTGTGTTGTGTTGTGTTGTCGCCGTCGCTCCCCGACCCGCCCCGCGACCCAGCCGCGACCCATTCCGTGACCCACCCGCGACCTAGGCGAGACCCACCCCACGACCCAGCCGCGGCCCACGCCCGCGGCCCACCCACACTGAATCGACAAAACAAACACAACCGTTGCCCGTGGCGGGCTGGTCGTCTTGACAAAAAATATCTGCGCCTGCGGTGGGCATATTTACGTTGGGTTTCGAGCCTCCTCCTCCTCCTCCTCGTCCTCGTTGTCCTCGTCATCGTCCTCGTCGTCCTCGTCGTCCTCGTCGTCGTCCTCGTCCACGTCGTCCTCGTCCTGGTCGTCGTCGTCGTCGTCGTCGTCGTCGTCGTCGTCGTCGGCGGCGTTGTTGTCCTCGTCCTCCTCATCCCCCTCGTCGTCGTCGTCGTCCTCCTCCCCTTCCTCCTCCTCCTCCTGCTCCTGCTCCTCCTCCTCCCCTCCTCCTCCTCCTCCTCCTGCTCCTGCTCCTGCTGCTGCTCCTTCCTCCTCCTCGTCCTCCTCCTCCTCCTCCCTCTCCTCCTCCTCCTCCTCCACCCCCTCCTCCTCTCCTCCTCCGCCTCCTCCTCCTCCTCCTACTCTCCTCCCCTCCTCCTCTTCCTACTCCTCCTGCCTAGTCCTCCTCCTCCTCCTCCTCCTCCTCCGCCTCCTCCTCCTCCTCGTCCTCCTCCTCCTCCCTCCTGCCTCCTCCCTCTTCCCTATCCCTCCTCCTCCTCCTTCCTCCTTCCTCCCTCCTCCCTTCTCCCTCCTCTCCTCCCTCCTCCCTTCTCCCTCCTCCTCCTTCCTCATCCTCCTGCTCCTCAGCATCCTCCTTCTCCTCATCCTCCTCCCTCCTCCTCCTACTTTGTATCAGGCCGAGGGGTCAGGTCTAGAGGCCACACGCGAGCCCCAACACTCGTCATTGTCGTTGTCTTCGCCACGTCGGTGTAGCCATTTTGGCTCAGGCTTCTTGTGCCACCTGACGCATGCACCTTTTGGAACAATTCGTTAATGAAGCTTTGGCAGGGCCCGCGGATGGCGGGCGCCTGGACGATTTGGTAGCTGATGCGAGTGGTTCTGGACCGGAGCTGGGCCACAGCCACAGCAGTGTTCTTGAAAGGTTATTGATTGAAGCCGTGGATGCAAATGAGTGTGTCGATGGTGCAGCGCGTGCACCCCCAAGCCCATTGCCTCAAGCCGTTGCCCTTCTTGCTGGACTTCCAGAAGATGTTGTTGTCCCCGAACGCATCAACCTCGGCGCTATCATTTCGAATCCAGCTGTGGAGTATGAGCCCCTTAGAGCCGTATGAAATTATATTCCTCGTGGCGTGCGTTGGCAACACATTGAGGAGCATATCAATATTGAACAGGTTGGCGTTTGCTTGTATGAAGGGCGGAGCTCGCGGTTGGTGTCGCCAGATGCTTTAAAGTGCGTTGATGTGTTGATGAGTTCCCGTGACACTTCTAGCTTCGCCGATATATCTGATCGTGCTGGGGTGCACCGTGATACAATGATGGATCGATTTAAATATCACGCAGCGCTCTGCTACCACATCGCACGCCAGAGAACATACCATGCGTTTCGGAGCCTGGCTCGTGCGTGCACGGGCAAGGGAGGTAGAGCCATCAGATTGTCCTTGCACGCATCAATGGATGAAACACCAATGCCCCATCGCGTGGCCAGCTTTGAAACTATATCAGACACTATTGTCGAGGCCGCTGTGGCCAATGGAGAATGCACTGTCGCTGTGAGATCTCCCGACACACTGGATGACCAGCCCATAGGAAGAATGATTGCATACGATCTGAAACTTGGTGCGTTGTTCAAATCGCCTCCACGCGCAGGTTCCGATGCAGACCACGTCTTGCACATAGAGGCGGCCCTGCCCACAACCAACTCCAGCACAGACAGAACAACTGGCGAGGTCTACGCCGCCTTGGCGAAGTTGCACATGGGTGACGTGCAGGAGCTCGGGGCCCATTTTGAAAGATATGTTCGGACCTCCTTGTCGGACGGCGACGGAGCTATACCACGCGCAGAGAGAAACCTTGAGTTGCCTCACGAATCGTCCCACAGACAATGCAAAATACAAAATACAAGGCGCTCGAGAGAAATCCGTCGGCACCATAAGCTTTGCATGGCCCTGGTGCTCTCGGCGAGTTCAAGGCAATATTGGGGTCCCTGATATCGGACCGATTCAACTTTAAGTATGGTGAGCCAGATGTGATGGCTGCTTCGAATCGCCGATCAATTATTGATTTGTTCCTCCCGTTGTCGTCTCCAGAGCTCAAGGTTCACAAGGCCCGCCTGGTTGCCAGCGCAGTTGCGCATGGGGATTATGGGCGCCATGGAGTGTTCGAGTGCTACGCCATGAACGGCATGGAGTGCGAGGCAGATGCCAGGTACACGGTTTTGAAGCATTACGTGAATGCGATTTGCCGTTTGGGTGTGTTCGAGTTCCCCCGTTCTCGGTGGAAACAGGCATGTGAATCGATGCGGGCGATAGGTCTTCTGGCGAACACCCACGGTTTGTGGCAAGATGCGTTCATTGCGTATGCTCAACGCCACGTTCGAATTGTTGCTCCACCCGCTGCTGGGCTACCCGCCTTGCTGGGCGCCCAGGGCGGCCAGGGCTGTGGCCCCGATGTGGCTGGCGAATCCGCTGGGCACGCTGTTTCCACCGAGAGCGCCTTTCGCCAGGAGATGACCCGTCATTTGAGACAAGGTTTGGTTGCTTGCAGAGACGTGCATTTCGCCAGTCACATGGTGCTTACCACGTATGCGGTTCAGCCTCAACAGAAACTCATGTACGGCGTGCTTGGCTTGGGATCAGAGGCTGCTCAAGGAGTCATACCGTCGGTGCGCAGGTGCCGTAGCAGGGGCGGCCAGCTTGGAGGCATGCGTGCCGCCCCGCATGAAGGCCCACGCAAAGTTGGAACTGGAGACGGCGTTCTTGGCAGAGCTGCGAAACTTGCTGTGCAATTGTGATGCGTGGGCCGCGCTCCCGATCACCAGTCGGACTTGCAATTCCCGTTTGCGTGCCTTCCGAACGTTGGCAGTCAGTGGCTCCGTGATCTCAGACGAGGTCGTGGGCTTAGTGGAACGCCACCCCATGCGGACGCACGTGCTTGCCCACGAGAGCGTCGAGAAAGGGGACGTCTCACACATGGTGAGGGCGCTCAAGGCCACTCCCGCGTGTATGCTAGACGCGTGGACGGCGGGCTTGATGGTACACTACGCGGCGGGCGACGGCATAGAGGCAAGGATGCGTTGATGGACGTCCTATGCCACGCCGCCGAGTCTGAGGTCGAGAACAGCAGGCGTGAACACATGCACGCGTGGGCTCGGCGCAACGTGAAGGTCGGCGGCTGCCAGGTGATCAAGCCCGCCATGGAGACGCTCAGCAGCAAGCGCGTCGTCCGCAACATCAGGGGATGGCATAAATTTGCCACAGAACCGTTGCCGAGACCCGCAGATGGCCCATGCCCAGGCGCAGATTCCAGCCACGAGGGGAAGGGTCAGCATCGCGGTGGAGGCGGCGGGCAGCGCGCGTACTTCAGCGAGCAGCTGCGCCTCAGGCCAGGCGTCTCTTTGTCGGATCTCCACCGTGAGTATCGTGGCCTGGCCGATGACAGCGCGAGCGTTACGTGACCATTGGTGCCGACGCAACGGTGGTTCACCGTCACGGCCAGAAGTTCCCGTTCGGTGCCCCTGAGAGCTTGCGCGCCAAGCGGGCGCGATCAGATTTCAACCGAGATATTTACGAGCGGGGGCGCCGGGCAGTTCTTTCGAGCTTGCAGGGCGACCAGAACGCCCCTCCTGTGTCTGGCGATGTCGCGGCCGCGGCGTCCGCAATTCAGGAGCGGGGCCTGCCATTGACAGAGGCGCTGGCGCTCGTATCTGGGTTACCTCACCAGCGCAGACTCCGAACTCGGGCTCGGCGGGATTGCATTCGCGACCAGCTCGTGCAGTACAGCGCGGACGTCTCTGAGCCTGCCAAGAAGGACATCGAGAGGTACTTGGACCTCGACGGTTTCTGCGGGCAGTCCCGAGTGATCCCGTCGATGCCTTCGTTGACGAGGTCGTTATTCCGGAGCGCTGGGACATTCCGATATGCTCGAACGGCCGCCGCCTTGAATTGCATGAAGGCCTCTTCTTCTGAGTTAAAGGCGTCGGGCGTTCCAACCACTCTGCATCACACGACGGCCTTCGGCCAATCATCCCGCAGCCCCCCCCCGCGCCCCACCCCTGCTTTCCTTGCCCTGGGCATCCAGGGCATCCCTCGTCGTCGCCGCCGCATGGTTGGTTGTCTGGCAGGATGGGGGTGGTGGCGTTGTCCTGGGGGAGCTGTGGTCCACGACGGATCGTGGCGTTGTGAGCGAGGACAGCCTTATCTACAAGGGTGCATTTGTGTCGGAATCGGGGGCCCCCTCCCCGCCAGGGCCCTGACTGGGCCTTCGCAGAGCGGGGGCAGTGGCAGAGGGGGCCCGCGGCGAGGCCAGCGCGCGGCTATTGCGGTCGCCCCCCTGCGCCGCCGTGGCCGCGCCTGACCCGAGCCGCAACTCCTCGTTCACGGCCTTCAGGCCCCGCAGGGGGCGGGGCGGCGGACCGACGGCAGATGTCTGGCCTCGGGGGGCGGCGGAGTACGTGGGCGGGCAGGGGGGCGAGGGCGATGGAAGGGGCAGGGAGGCTACCGTACGATGGCGCAGTGGAGGCGGATGATCGGGGATAGCGTGCATCGGGCGGAGAGGTGGTCGAGGATCGTCTTTAGTGCCCGCTCCCCTCCCAGAGGCTGCAGCTCGTTCGGACTGGGAGCGCAGGCGCGCGCTGATCAAGCATTGCGATTGCGATGCGCTGCCGAGGGGTTGCCCGCCAAGGTTGCCGTGCTACGAGGCGGGCTTCGGCATGTGTGATGCTATCGGTGGCTATGCTGACATGTGCGCCAGTCGTTGGGACGCCATCGTCAAGGCAAAGCTCCCCGCGGGCACCGCCGACCGCACTCGTCTGAAATCTGCATCCTTCTGTCAGGTAATCGTCGGTTCAGTCACGCTGCCGCCCCTCGAAGGCCCCGTTGCGCATGATATTGAAATGGAGAGCATGGACGTGGAAGTTGAGCTATGGAGTTGCATCTCGTATATCCACTTTTCCCCATGGAAGGTAATGTTCATGCCCGCGACTTGCGCTGGGCACGCAGGTGGGGACCAATTTTCTGCGACAATGGAGCCAGAGTGGACCAGGCAACGCAAGCACTTTAAGCAGATGCTGGAGACGTACGGCGAGGACACAACGTACAAGGTTCAGTGCTCTGAGTTCATTGATACCCCGGCGCCTGTCAACTTCGCGCCGAGCGAGCAGCTCATCAGAAAACGAGGGGACGCCATCGAGTTTTGGTTTTGCCCTGGCGACCAGGCGAAACTGCCGGCGTTCCGTGCCAAGAAGAAGAGGCTCCTTGATAAAGAACAGAACCGTTGGGATGATGAAGGAGATGGCAGCGGCGGCTCTGAGGGCGAGCCCGTCGGGTCGGAGCTTGAGGCCAGCGAGGGCGAGCCCATCGGAGCTCTGTCCGACTCAGAGTGCGGCGGGTCAGTCTGCGACTCTTCTGGCGAATCGCAGGGCTCCGCTCATCATGCTCCGAGCAGTTCAGACTGGGGCGGCGACGACGGCGAGGCGATGCCCCCGCGGCTGAGGGCGGCGACAGGGTGCCGCGCGACGCAGCGCCTGTCCCTGCTGATTTAACTGCGCAGCTGCCGAACGGGACCATCACTTTCTACACGACTGGTGTCTACCGTTTCGTAGTCTATTGTCGGTGCGGCCATGTTAATTGCAGTCGAGAGCGGGGGGCCGCGCCTGGGAGTCGGCGAAGCCAAGGCCGACCGCTGGGCTTCATGGCGCTATTCTTGGAGCAGGGCCCCCTCCACGGCTCCAAGCTGGCCCATTGCCACTCCGCCTTCTACTCGCGCGCAGACCGTCTGGCAGCGAGGCGCCGCCTGATGATGAACCCCGATCCCGCGGTGCAAGCCTTGCTTGCCGCTGAGAGGCCGCAGTGGCCCGACGAGCCCGACGAGGGGCCCCCCGTGCAGCCGCGAGCGGCCTGAGACGTCGGGTCGACGCCCACGCGTCGACCCTCTTGCCGAGGAGCGGTGCACCGTTGCCGCCAAAGAGCATTTGAAACATATAGGCAAAACTAACCCGGCACGAGCGACGGGGGGGGGATGCGGGGGGTGGAAGGCGTGAGGGTAGGAGGAATGGGGGGCGGGGTGCCCGCCCTCTATTCGCAAGCCTCGATTCTCTCAGAGAGGGCGCGCGCGTTCGAGGGAAGTGTTTGGGGAGGGCTTCCGCCCCCCCCCCCCCCCCTCCACCCCGCCCCGCGCCCACCCCCCAGATGTGGCATGACGGATGGCGCTTCACCCCCCATACGCCTCCCTCCATCCGCCGCCCCTCCCCCGCCCCTCGTCTGCCCCGCGCGCAGTGCGACCCCATGATTCGGCATGCTCTTGCAAGTTGACTAGTCACTTGTGTTGCGTCCTTTCTGGGCATCCGCAGTCGGCGACTCAGGCGGGCCAGCTGCCTCCTGACGGTTTCCCATTCGCCAGATTGGTCATGTTGTCTTGAGCTCTCTATGTCTTTCTCCTTCAGGTCACGCATCGACTTTGTCTGCAAATTTGCCCCCGCCACCTCGAGCAACGACGTGATTGATACTTTGGCCGCGCCCGCCGCGCCCCCCCCCTCCTCCCCGCGCCTTCTCTAGTGCAAGGCGCCCCCCCCCTTCCGCAATGCAGCTTCCTAGTTTGGGGGGCGGGTTGCGGCGGGCCCCCCCCGCCCCGTCGGGGGGGGGGTGGCATTGCATGTTAGAATCATTTGGCGCAGGCTGGCCTCGGCATCAATCAAGTCGCGGGCGCCGCGAGGGCTGCGAGGGCGCGGGGGAAGGGGGGGGGGGGGCGGCGGAGGGGGCAAACCGCGCGGTAGGGGGCACGGGCCATGGGCCGCGGGTCATGGGCCATGGGCGTCTTCGAAGCTCGACGGGCGCGGGGGAATCGCTCTTCCCGCCCCCCCCCCCCTCCCCCCGCGCCAAACGCCGCGAGCCTCGACGGTGGCGGCCCTTAGCGCTCCGATGTCTCCCGACGCCTCTATCCCCCTCACCCGCTCCGCCATTTTCTGGGGGCGGCCAGCTGTTGGCCACGTGGGCCCCGAGGGTTGCGCTCGCCGCGCAGCCCGCCCATCCACTGGCATCCACGGCGACACTGTCGCCCCGCTCGTGGCGAGCAGGACCGCGGCGGACGCGGGGGCGTGGCGCGCGCCCCCAGGGGCGCGGAGAAGGGGATGCGGAAATCGACGAGGCGGGTGGAGGAGGGGCAAGGGGTGCAACAGCACGCCGCGCTGGACGAGGTAACGATGGCGAGGATGGTAGCGTGGGGGGGGGGGGGGGGGGGCGGGAGAGGGGGAGGGGCGGGTGGGCGGGCGGGCGGGCGGGGCGTGCGCGAAGGGGGGGAAGGGGGGCGGAGGGAGGAGGGGTGGGTGACGGGGGGAAGGTTGGGCAGAGTGCGATGAGGAGGGCGGACTTGTCGGAGTGCGCTGCGCGTGCGGCCGGGCGGGCGTCGAAGGGGGGAATGGAGTGCGGGTGGAGGGTGGGTGGGCGGGCGGCGGTGAGGGTGGGTGGGTGGGGGGGCGCGAGTTCTCGACCCCGCCCCCAGGCCCCTTCCCATCCCCCCTTGGGGGGCGCCCGCGCCATTCGGGGCGGCGGCGGCGCGCTCCCGCTGATCTGTGATAGGGGGCAAGCCGTTTAATGTGATCGACACAGCCACTGCAACATGCAAACATCGGTCGTAAGCTGATGCGCTGCCGAGGCCATGCAACTGCAAAGCGAGCGTCCCAGCACATGCAAGTGCAAGTCCGACGCGAGCGGCGGAACGCAGCTAACAACGAGACCAGCGTGCGGAGCACGCAGAGCATGTTCGCAGTTCTCATGATGCCTGCGCGGCGCGCGGCCACAATCGCAATGTTACAATCTTGCAACTGTGCACCATGCAACGGCTACGTGGTCCAGATTGCGCGTCGGGCGCCGACCATGCGGCGCCGACCAGAGGGCCCCGCGCGATGCCAATTACCCGAGCCACGGGGCACGCACTACAGGGAGCCAACCAGACGCACCCATAGGACGCCCACCGCCGACCATGGACACCGCGCGTCGCCAGCTTTAGGGCGCAAGAAAAACGACATTGCGCGGCGCTTGAACACAAACCGCGCGGCCCCCGCCGCGCGGCACCATTGGGCGCGAGACATGTCAGGCATAGACCATGACGCGCCGTTCCAGCAGCAGCCACATGCCACCATTCATGGCCCGCCACAGGGCGCCAGCCATATATCCCCTGCCATAAGGGGGAGGGGGGGGGGGGGGGGGGGGGGGCGTCCAGCACCAACCAGGGGGCACCAACGGACGCAACGCCAACCACACCATGAGGTGCCACCCACGCGCAGGCGGCCGACAATGGCACGCATTGCGCCCGCAATAGGACACTGAACCACGACGCGACAGTTCGCGAGAGGTTGGCTGCGACGGCAGCCCCAGTTCCCCGCGGCAGGCGCAGGAACCTCTGAGCGCATCCACACAGGTCGTCCCGCTGGCGCGCCAGTGTATTTTGCGCCCTGGTGTTTAGTTTTGGCAATGCCCTTGCAGCTCCTGGCGCGGCGAATGGCAGTCAAGACTGGGCACAAGTTGCACGTTGGTCTCGGCTGCATACTTCTGATGGCGCGCTGAAGGGGCGGGCGAGGGCAATGCCATCGGCGTTCCAGCTGCGACGCGCACAAGGTCGCCATGCCTACATAGTATGTCAGCATGTAAGTTTGCCGGGTGCGCAGTTCCAGGTCCTGACATGCCAGGTCGACACTGAAGATGGGCACTAGTCCCCGCCGCGTGGCTGCTGATGCGGTGGCAGAGAGGGCATCTTTGCTTCGCTCCCAATGCTACCCTCCGCGACAGGAGCCGAGATCCTCGGCGCCACCCCGCGTTCGTTTGATCGGGCGGCGGCGTTAGTTGCGCGAGCGTTGCGCTGCGCGGCCACCGTCGGGCCACCGTCGGTCGATGAATGCCCCCCTTCGATGAGTCATTAGTTCATTAGTCTTCTTCTTCTTCTTCTTCCCCCCCCCCGCGCACGCGCGCGCGCGAAGACGCGCGCGCGCCCGCGCCAGCCCGCCCGCGCACCCTACCACCTGCCCCTGCGATCCGCGCGCCACTAGAGCGCGACGTGCAAGATTTTCATGTGCGAGCCGCATGCGACGCACCAGTGACACCCAATCAATGGTCCTCCGATGCCCGCACAGGTCACGCCACAGCCCGCGCGTGCTCGGATCCGCCTGGGGGCCGTTAGCAATACACACATAAGCCGAAGTGTATATACACAAAAGCCAGGGGAACTGCGACGGTGGCCAGGACGGGAGGAACCACTGACAATATCGCACAGCTGTGACGAAGGAAACCGCCGGCGCGGTGAGGACGCAGAGCGATGGCGCGCGCGTGCGAGGGCGGAGCGGGGTGCCAAGGGGCACGCGCGCACGCGCGCGCGCACGCAAACATACGCACGCATGCACGCGCGTACTGGGCACGCAGCCCCCCCCCCCGCCGCGCACGCGCGCGCGCCGCCACCGCCGCCGCAACCACCATCGCCACCACCAACAACCACCACCACCACAACCACCCACCATCACCACCACCACCACCACCACCACCACCACCACCGCCACCACCACCACCACCACGCACACGCACAAGCACACACGCACACACCGCGCCCACCCACCCCAGCCCCCCTGACCCCCGCGGGGGCCCGCGCGAGCGCGCCTCCACAAGGCTCCGCAGCACGCCCGCGGGAGCGTCAGCCACCCCCTGGGCGCCGCAACCAAACCAAAACCACATGCAGATGTCTCTGGCGTTGCGCGCCAAGCCTAAACGGCGCCACATGTGCCCGCGAAAACCCTATGGCACCACAGGGGCTCGAATATATTTAGCGGCGCATCCCACGCCCGAGCGCATATTGGGGGACGCCTCTGCCCTACCGTGGGGCACCGCCCGAGGCGCTCAGACGCCCCCCGCCCCCGCCACCCCGAATGGGACCGATTGGTTGTCAGCGGCCACGCGCGCTGGAAACGTGCAGTTTCAGCGCGCGAAACCGAAGCGCCGGGTGAGCGAGGAACGTCGCTTGCATGAGATTGCCAGGTAGCGCTGTAAGCTGTCAGCTCAATTGCCACACATGCCAGGACGGGCCACTTGGCTTCGCAATCCCGCTGCCGACGCCCCAACATAGGACGGCAATGCCAAGGGAGCGCGCAAATCAGATGTCGAGCGGAATCACCGCGCCAAGCAGAATCCGAGCTGCACGCGTTGTGGCAATGCACATATACGCTGCGGGGAAAGCAGCAATCGGCCGCGGTGGCACCGCGGCGCAGAAGCATACAAAAACATACGCAACCAGTCCGCGGGAGTCGCTAGCACGAGAATCATCAAACGCACAGTGTACGCGTGCGCAAGAACACAGCCGTGCTGAAACACGCCACGCATGACAGCAGAACGTTGTCTTGGGTTTTCCACGCCACCCAATCCAGACATGCAAGTTCAATAGCACGAGGCATCTGCGCTACACCAGCCGTGCCAACGAGCAGCCGCGCTGCAAACAGTTCCCAGTCGACGCGCATGAACCTGCGGGTCCTCGCATGCGTTTTCTTGGCATCGCAATGGCATGCTG